ATATTCAAGAAAAAAAAAAATAAACAGAAACAATAAAATGAAAAAGATTTATACGAGTGTAAGGAAGAAAAATTCATAAAACAAAAATTCAAAAGTCATAATAAAAGCATTTTGTGTAAGACCATTAACAATATTATAAGAAACACCATCTGTTCTCGGAAATATCTACATAGATACATTCATGTAATATTTTTAAGAATATAGTAAAATATACAAATTTCTATAATTTCATATTTATTGTAATAATACACAAATATATTTTATTTTCCTTTTATTTTTTGTTTGTTTTATAAAAAATAATCTTTGAAATCTCTAGAAGATGTAATCATTGTATTTTTACTTGAATATTAATATGGAAAATAAAAGAAAATAGATTTTTTATTTAGGATTTTCAAATAAAAATTCTTCATATAATATGAGCGCATATCGTCAGCTTAGAGGGAAAATTGAATATTTGAAAATGTGAGGAATTCGATTTAATATACAATAAACGTTGTTATGATACAATAATATGTTTTCTGCCTATTAGGAATTCTTAATTCCTATATTACTCGTATGTATGAATTCCTATACATTCCTGAGCGGTTTGACATATAAAAATTTCCTTAAAATCTTTTTAATAAAGGATTTAAGCTGTTTTTTTTTTGAATATTTAGTTACTCACATAATTTACGAATGCTTATTTCCGATTCTTGAAAAAGTAAATTTTTGCAGATAGTCAATTTTGGTTCTAAATCACCGATTGATGTACATAATGCAGATTAAGTATATGTAATAATAATAAGTAATATAAATTATTCTTTTTAATGTAATCATATAAGGATACACAATAAAAGTACAATTTTTGTGTGGGTGTTGTTGGGTTTATTACAGAAAAATATGTAATCTATCAGTTTTATTTTTATTTATAAAAGAGCATTTTAAAAGTTAATTTTATTTAATATTAAGTATAATTTTGTGGAAACATGAATATTTTCAATTTATTTGATAACGCATATATTTTCTTCTTATACTGATGATTATTTTCTATATCAATCGAAATCTCAAAACTTTAATAAATTTTGATATAGGAACCTTAGAGAAGACCCATTAGAAGGAAATAGGTGGTGGCTTCAATTCTAGTGTAGGCCGATGAGGATGGGGGCTGACCTTTATTTTTCGTAGTTAAAAAATTTTCGTCTTTAACATTTATGATTCTTCAGAAAAATATACGCCTTATAGAGATTTTAAAAATTTAAAAATATAATTTATCCTTAAGCTTTCAATATGAAATATTCTAAGTGTTCGGGATCTTATTCGCTTTTCAACCACTTTGGAAAACTTCCATCAGAGTGAAGCATAGTAATTAGTTTAGTTCAAGTTGGAAAGATCTTCTTAAATATTGTAAATAATATCAGACATTTAACTGATCACTAAATCCAATAAAAATTTCATTTAATAGTAAAGCTTTCCACTAATTTTTTAATTATTCATTTGATTTTTAAAATTTACTTAGTATGTATTTAGTTTCAAAATTAAAATTAAGTTAAAAAATTAAAGTTTACATAAATCGGTTAATTGCTGAACAATAGAAACAATTACTTAAGAATTACGGATTGTCAACAACTTAAGAACAAGAGAGTCATATCAACTATCCGTTTTTATAAGGTCCATGTACATTTTAAAAAAAAATAACTATAGTTACAAACACAATTTTACAATTAAGTACAATAAAATAAATAGATTATAAAATTAAATATTTCCTATTATTTCACATGCACAATGAAATGAATATTTTTATAGCCCTACAAAACATAATAAGGTGTTAATATTGTCACTTTCAATGAAAAAGGTATTAATAATACATAAAAAATTAATGATTTGAAAAGCAAAGCATCTAGTGCTGATAGAACCATTGAATTTCTATCCGATCCCACTTAACAATTTTATTTTAAATATAGAAATGAAAAAAAAAAGTTTGCCTATTTATGGAAAATAAAAAAAACCCTATTTTTTCAAATCTATTTTTATAAAAATTCATTTCAAATGCTTTATTTGTAAATATAGGGGCTGAAATATTTTACATATAAATGCTTTAATTGTTCAACATAAGAATCATAAAACAAAATATCTATGTGTAAGTACAATTTAAAATTAAAATAGAATTGAGAGTATTGTATTGTAAAACTATTGTTTCCGAAAAATAAAAATTCTTAAAATAAAATTTTTCATTGTTTTTAGTTTTACCTCATTATGTCTCATTATTTTACCATTTCCACTTATAAAAGCGTCATTTTAAAAATTACAAATTGATGTAAAAATAATATTTGCATGTATGTATATGTAAAAGCATATATTTTAGTATTTTATAAAATATGTATGAACATAGTTACAAATTTAGAACCTCGTCATGGAAATTTTTTATAAAAAAATCTAATTGATTACAGAAATTATAGTACATTATTTTTTTCAAGAATATTAAATTTTGAAATATGAAATTTCAAGAAATTCCGTCGATTAGTTCCTTAGATTCGAAAAGAAATGAAAAATTCGTATGGAAATTTTGTTTTTCGTATGGTTTTTACGTATGGAAATTTTGTTTTTAATATAAAAAAAATAATTTTTTTTACAAAATAGCGGCAAAATTTTGTAATTTTTTAAAATTTCATAATGACAAAAGCTATTGCCTGTTTATAAAAACCCTTAACATAGAAACATAATGGTGGACCTAATACTTTAGAGATATTTTCAATATGTACATATGCATTAAATGCTTGTACATTTACTAATATTTACCGCAATTTGGTTTGTTATTTACATTTTTTGTACAAAGTAATTGTAAGTGAAAGAGCTCTCTACGAGTATAACATAAGTAAATAATTAAAACTTGCCATCAGAAAGGTGAGCTTATAAAAAAGATATCCAACGACTGACGCTACATATTTTAAGTTTTAACTTCATCTTTATGGATATTCCCCAAATTATTTAAAAGTAACAGGTTAATTAAAAAATTGATATTAGAAAATAACGACTGTATAACAGGATTTTTGGATTACCTTGCACTATATTTTCCATTAATGCACTTTTTATTTAATAAAGATTTCTATATCACAGGGAGATAAAACAGAATAGATACATTAATCTTGACAAATGCTAGATTGGCATATCGGACACAAAACATTCTAAATTTTTGACTCACGTCACAAAGATTTCTAATTAAATAAAATTTTACTCCTTTACCAATAACTTTAATTTTAATATAATAAAAGGATAAAATCAACCAAAAATATGAATTGATTTGTAATAATAGTTTATTATTATGTAGTTGATAAGTATTTTAAGGGTTTGACAGGGTACAATATATATTCAGTATATTTAATGTGTTTAATTATTACAAGAACTCTTTCCAATATAATATTTTACCAACATGTTACATTTTTGAAGAAAATTATTTTGACTCATTAAGAAAGATTATTTTGATAAATTAAATATATAATTGCATTAATTACATACACCTAAAACAATATAACAAAATAAATATAATTTTATTATCTATATCTATACTTATAAAATCGATTGAGGCCAATATTATGTAAACATAGTACAATTTTATTTTAACACTTTTATGAAGTATTCGTGTGCCTTTAATTGGATCAATGAAACTTATATCTTTTATTTTTAATAAATTAAAGATCAAATCAATTTTGATTATTTCTATGTAAAATATAAATTAAGTAGATTTTTATAAAACGAAAGTATATCTGTAAGAGACAATAATGTTCTTACACATATAACACTCGTATATATAAGGAAAGTGAAGAAGTGCATGATAAGACATCTACTCTTTATAACATACTTTTGTATTACATAAAAGGAGTATACATTGAATTACATACATTTTATATAAACATATATGTATATTAAATATAAAACTTCCATCATCTGATAAAATATAATCTTGATAACATTTTAGCGTAAAACTCAATTGTATATATAACACAATGTCGTCACATTACATAATATTACTTACATGCATATACATATAACAGGAAAAAGATAATCTAACAAAAAGACAAAAATGAAGCAAGAAGCACAAAGATGAAATTAAATAGACTATGACGACAAAAATATTTATATTATGTTATAGAAATAAATAAAATAAAAATATTTATTGTAAGTATACAAAAATATTATGTTCCAATATCATAAATTTTGTAACATTTATACAATTGAATAATTACATACACATATATATATATATATATTATATATATATTTATATGTAAATATACATAAATATTATATAAGAATGTTTATCAATAAAATATTTTTTACATAATAATATTGAAAAAGAAGCAGCATTCTCCTTTACTTTCTTGCAAAATATGGTACTCAAAACCTTCTACATATAGTCTACTATATGCCTATCCGCATACATATAAATACGTACAAGTATATTATATACATAAATATATATACACATATGAAATGCATATGAAGTAGAGTTTTTAATAAAACAAAAAGCATAATTTGATTTTATGATAACAAATAATAATAATATTTGGATATTATCTTTGAATACAATTTATATAAAATGTTTATGCACAAAACATGTGAGTAGGATATCACATTGTTTTAGAATTTTACCCTAAAAAATTCTATTGCACTATATTAAGTAATCAGTTTAAAATTTCGAAATAAGTAATTTTTTATAAATTATAAAAATTTGTACTTGCACTGTAATTTCATACTCAAATGCTGATGGCTCGTAAATTAAGTGTTTACTTTACACTCTCTTATTTATATACCGAAATTTCATTGTTTTATAAATTATTTATTCATTTTATATTTATTCAAAATAATAAAAATTAAATTTAAAAATATTAAATATTTATACAAACAAAAATAATATAAAATAATTGTAACAATAATAAGAAATTTATGTAATTATGTATATTAATACATACATATACCTATGTATATTATAAAGACTGGTAATTTTAATATAAATTTTACTTTACCTTTTTCTTACAAATTTAAAATGCTTTAAAATTTTTCCCTTTATTTATATAGGTATATTTTTTTTTTGTTTTGTTAAATTTATTTTTATATTTTAATATTTTCTTCTATTCTCCTTCTATTTTTATTTTTTTTTTATATTTTACTTTTTGTTGCTATTTTTATGTGTTTTTTTTTGCTGGTTTTCTTTTTTGTCTTGTGTTTTATAAAAGCTGCTCCATCGATTTTCCGCGTTGTAAGTAGTAGTAAATATGGAGAAAAGAATAAGAATTTTGTGTGTTTTTTTTTATTATTTTTGTAAAAAGAAACTCGTTTCTTTCTACATTTTCTTTTTATGTTATCCCGAAATATTGTATTTAATCGTACATTTTGTATATTGTGGTATAAAAATATACTATATAGAAAAAATGGTTTTTCTTTTACAATAATATTTTTTTTATTATTTAATTTACTTTTAATTAATTTGAAATTTAAATTATTAAATTAATTTACATAAAATTTTGTTCCACCCTGTATAGGTTTTTTTTTTAAATAACTATCTATGCATATAATATTTAATTTGTTTTTTTTATAATATTTATATAACAAGTGAGAAATATTATTTTAGAAAGAAATTTCCTTTCTTTTTTTTTGTTTTTTTTCTTTTTTTGTATTTTTTTGTGTTAAAGAATTTCAAAGAAATAGTAAACTATTTGTTGTTACATATATGTATAACTTTTTGAAATATTATGTATAAGAATTACCGAGAAGAAAAAAAAATTATTTATTTTTTAAAATTTATAAATTATTAATATCAATACGAATGCACATATTTATAATAACTCAATAAATTTGCTCATTATTATTATAATAATTAAGCTACACTATATTATTTAAGCTACACGATAGTTATTAATTACCTATGTGTTTCTTTTTCTTTAAATTTAATTAAAACATTGCAATTTTTACACAATTTATTTATAATTTTATAGAATTTATTTATTTGTTTATTTGTTTTTGTTGTTCACGAAATATTTATTTTATATTTTTTTTGTAGAAATTTAATTTATTTATTGTTAAAATTTATTTCTTTTATATAAAATTAAATTTGTAAATTATGTACAAAAAATATTTACTAATATTTTTTTTTATTTTTATTTAAAAAAAAGAACAAAAAAACAATTTCTTTCTATTTATTTTTTTTTCTTTCTATTTTTTTTTTTGGTTTAAAATCATATAATTTTTAAATTTTGCATAATTTCTATAAATTTATTTATAAAAATTTTACCGTTGTTCTTATGTACTGTTCGGATAAATGTCAAATCTAAAACTGGAAAATTTTTTAGCTTTTTACCAAAGAGAAAACTTTTTACAAAAAAAAAAAATTAACGTTATAACTATTGAGAACATACATACACATTATGCATATATACACGTATCGTTAAATTTATTTTTGCCTCGTTAAAATATTGATTTGAAAAGGGGAGCTATATGTAACTCAAATAATTAAAAGCAAAAACAGCGGTTTAGGAAAAAAGCTTAAGGTAAAAATCATAACAAGTTGTACACAGGATATACAAAAAAAAAAACAATGAAAAAAGGTAAGTTAAAGAACTGTCATTTTGATATGAGAATTTCAACTCGAACTCTTTTATTTTGGAGGAGTGAATATGTCATATAAAATAAAGGATAACAATTATTTCACCACCAAGGGCGCAAATTTCAAAATAGGAAAAAAATATTAATAATTCACGATAGTTTTTTTTATTTTAAAACATTAATGAAAAATGTTTCGAAAATATGCTGGGCATTGAAATTGAAGTAAAATCGTTCCTAACATCAGAATTTTTATATTTACGATTTTAGGGATATCTATAATGTTTAGGAATTTCGTTAATGTACCTGTGCATACCTATGGATAAATACAAGTTTTTAAATTTGGATTGAAAAAAATTAAGAATGTTTTATATTATAATTCTTTCAATTTATAACATTATCTGCAGTGTTGTAAAGTACAATTGCATAAATATTTATTATTATAATGTTATTCAAAAAGCCTTAGAAAACCAATCGTCCTTTTTGAAAAGAACACGTTCCGTTTTGTATGATTGTGTATATCACTCAAATATGTTTGTCTTATTCTCAACACAAGTATGACAAGATGTAATTATGTTAAATAAGCAGGATTTAGATAAGTAGCGGTATGTTATTAAATTATTATTTAAATACTTGAGTGCTGAAAAGTATGTTTTAGAAAAAAATAAAAATGATATTACTGAAAAAAATATCCAGGGGTAAAAAGTTCATTAAAAGCTTTTATAAAATTAATAAAACAAAACTAGATGTTGCCATGCGCATAGTTATATACCGGGAAAAGTTTCACGTGGTTTTCAACGGAACGCAAAGCTTGTTTTATACAAACAAACTGTCAAATAAATTTTGAACGAAATATAAAATTTTGTATAGAAATTATTGGTATATTTGGCATAAGCTTTTTTTAAATATTTTCCTAGTATTTTCTCCATTTTTTTCAAGTCCTTTTTGTAAATGTTTAATAACACTATATTAATACAAAAAACAACTAAGGTTATTTGAGATATGAAGATGTAATAAACGCATATTTGCACATATTTACATACAGTGACATCTATTTGTTTTTCTTTGTCATATAAGTTTTTTAGATACATTAGTAAAAATTTTTGTAACTAAATGCTCAATCAATGATAAGACTAATATAATGGCACATACAAATACCTACCAAAAATACCTACATATATTACTTATTTTTTTTTAGAATTCTTATATTTTCAAAAGTTTTAAAATTATAAAAAAATTTTTTACTTCAAATTAAAGTATATTGCTATATACATAAGTTTAAAAGTCTAAATTTAAGTTAAAAAATTATTAAAAGTTAATGTATGTATGTATATACATATGTTAGATAAGTAGGTAGGAACTTACGTAAGTATGTAGGTAATACCTACATACCTCTAATATCTGAATAAATTGGAAAATTAAGAGTTATTGTTAATAAAAATTAAAATAAAAATTTAATTTAATTTTAAAATATTTATTTGAAAATAATATGTGTCTACTGTTACACACACATGTCAAGAAAAATGCCGGTTAAATTTCACCGTCGTTCGAAATTTAGGCTATTTGACCGTCAGTGATGAAGTCGTGGCGATAATTATGCTAAATTTTGAGTAGTCCCATGAATTCTGACATGTCGCAGCGGAATAGCACTCTTGTTCTGTTTTCAACTTGATATAAGACTGAAATCATTTGATAATAGTCAGACCCTTTATCAAAATTTAAAAATTTCGCAACGAAAATTATAACCAAAATAAAAATAAGTTTTACTAAAACTTTTACAAAAAATTAATTGTTGGCATTTTACTTTAAAAAAAACTGACAGTAAGTCTGGTAAGAAAACACTAATTGCAATTTATTTCCGTCAGATAAAGATAAAGTCTGATGTTGTCTTTTCTTGTTATTCAAGGTTATTTTTGTTAATTATGTATATTTTTGTCAGTCCGCTTTAATTTTTGTTTGGGAAATATGACAGAATGTGCATATTACGATATTCGCACCATTTAATATGGAAAGATAACTTCAATTTTGACAGATTCATTTTAAATTATATTTTGGCACAACTATTTTCATTATTGTTGTATTTATTACTTTTATAGAAAAATTTGACACAACAACTATATCTACAATTATTCAAAAATAGGTTCACAAATAATATATTCAATTGGTTTTTACTCAAAACATAATAAAAAAAAATAGGGTTAAAACTTACAATTATTATTAAAAATCTTGTGGGCAATTACAATGAAGCGTATGTCAACCATTGACGCAAAAGTTGTTGTGTAAACACATCGGGTGACATTAAACTGCCTAAAGAAAAAAATTTAATTAGAAAATTCATGTAGAAGTTATGAGTTGCTATTTGAATTTTTTCAACAGATTTAATACGATAATAAAATATTTTATATTTTAATAAATTATAAAATATTTTATATTTTATTTTATGAAATAATATAACGAATTAATTTCTCTAGAAAAAAATACTTCAATTCTTTGTTTTTTGCAAAAAAATTTTTAGGCTGACTTTATTATGCCTAGTCGAAACGCATCCTCAGTAATTATGTTATAAGCCTTAATGAGGAAATTTTTCATAATAAGTTACAAAATTTGACATATTGAGAACGTACACATAGCACAACCTTCAGTACGAAAATAATTATAAACTTATTTTTTATTTTAGCGATCAATTTACGTTGTATTGATATCTATTAATTATTCATTTATTTAAAATAAAATTATTATCTTATAACCAAAATTACATTAAAGGTAGAAATTTTATTTTATCAGAACATTCTAAATATCTTACATTTTGTTGTAATCGAAAAAAGACGCTGTTTATAAATGACGCTCTCATAAACTATGAACATCAGCACAACCCTATAAAATAATTGACGCGAGATATGTCAAAACATTAAGCACTTTGGCAAATAGGCACTTGCTGTGTTTATTGTGTGTGTGTTGTCCTTTCTGAAGTGAAGAAAAGTTATTTTTTTTTTTCATGTGAAGAAAAAATAAATAAATCAATTCTCTTTTAAGAACGGAAAAATATAAAATGTATTTGCAAATAAAAATATATTTAGTGTAAATATTAATAAAAATTACAAAATTTAAGTTTATTTTGGATTAGATAAATAAAACATGAAAAATGGTTGTATAAAAGAAGCAAACAAAATTGAAAAAAAAAAACTAAAATTCGTTCAGGGAAATTAAAACCTGACATAAAAATAAAAAAAAAAATTTATTTTATATTGATAATTTTAGCCAGCGATGTTATCGCTTTATATATTTATAAATAATTATTTATTTGGAAAAATGTTCAATTATTATTATAAAAGTATTAAAATAAAATTTAATGCAAAATATCGAAGAAAATTGTATATTTCATTACAAATACTATCAACATTATTGCTTTGTTTAATTTGCAAAGTGAATGCATTTAATTGCACTTCAGATATCAATTGTATGAATGGTGGAACATGTCGAAATAGTGTATGCATTTGTCCAGATGGATGGCAGGGACCAGATTGCCAATTTTGTGGTGGTAAAATAAGGTAAACCTTAATAAGGCTTTTATAAAAATAATTTACTACGTTTCTTTTTTAACGTTTCTTCATATTTAACGCTTTCATTTTTTCTTTTATTTTTTGTTTTTAGTTTATTAGAGAAATCAGGCCACTGTAAGAATGCTAATATTTATTTTGCAAATTAAACCATTTGTTAAAGATATGAAATTTAGTAAATAAACACCTGTTCTTTTAAAAAAGTCATATAAAAAAAAACACAAAAAAATTCAGATGCTTTCCATTATTATTTACAAATTTTTTGATACAAAATGCTCTTTATTGATTAGAACAAAGAAAAATTTTTAAATTTTTTCCAAAAATTTATATAAAAAATATTGAATCAGAATTAAATTTTTCTGTAATATTTACTTTTTCTTTTTCTTATTTTTTTCTCATAGAAATCTATGACATTTTGAAATGATAAATTTTGCGTAATCTATGATTTAATAATAGTGCATGGTGTATATGTTTGTTTCAATATCAAAAATCTACGTCATATACTTGAAATGATTGTATTGATTTTTGTTGGATTAAATATGTAGGTATTATTTCATTTAAGAAGCTGGGGTTATATGCATACCTAAATATTTTCAATTGACTTAATTTTCAATTGTTCAATCAATAAAATCTGTTATTAATCGTTATATTTTTTTGCATAATCAACCCTGCTTTTTAATAAGTATAGCGATAAATAGGTGGGTTGGTAGGTACTACATTAAGAACGTTTTATGTACACATTATTTTGTACATAGATCGGTAGGTACTTTGGTATTCACTTGTCGAGTATGAGTGGCTTTAGTTCAAAAACAATTTTATTTTTCCAAAGGATTATTTAAAAAAAAATACATAGCTTTTCAAATAGTTGCATAAAGTACTTTTCTTTTTATAAAAAGAAACCTTACAAAAATATTTTTGCAAAATCTTGAGTAAATAAATGTATGTAAAAGTTGCTTTATACATCAAAAATATTCTCAAATACACTACATTGATTTTAACAGAAGATTTAAATTTTAATAAAGGATTATGAGTTATTTCATTTTTTTAATATTATTTAGAATATTATGAACTAACAACTTTATAGGTTCTAAGGTAATATAGAAAATATCTACTTACATGAAACCAAATAGGTAAACCTACGTAATTACTTCTAGTGAGGGAGTTTCAATTTTTATCATTTAATGTTGTTTACAAGTTAAAACACAAAATATAGTATTCAATATTTGTAAAAAAATATAAATATTTATCTACATAAATACTTTAATTTACATGTTTATAAAATTTCAATTATACTGAAAATTTTTGACATAATGTGCATACTTAATGCGTGTAAGCAAATTATGTATCATTTTTGGTATAAGCGAGTTCGAACATAACCAATTCTGTAACTAAATATATGTGGGTAATCATTGTTAATCAGTTCGAAATACATTAATATACTTAAATAAAAGCATGAAAAGTTATAAAAATTTAAAACTGAATTCAACGTCAGTATCAGATTAATTATCTCAGATACAAATCAACCTAAACAAAATTCAGTATAATAGACATTTAATTATATATTAGCTATGAAGAAGATCAATAATATATTATATATTATAGTAGAGAAATAATTATATAAATTTTTTTTTTATGTATCACAAAAACCGGAATTTGGAATTACAATTAAAAAATTTCTAATACATTTTTATATTGATTCAACTTATCGATTGTTGTTATACAAATTTTTGGAAATTTATACATTAAAACTAGTAAATTAGTATATATAGAAGTGTGTGAAAAATAATCAAAATGTTATAAAAGAAATGATAAGATAAAAAACAATTGTTTATATAAGTATGTATATAGGTAAAGTGTATGTTTAATTGTATATGAATTCGGAAAATTTTGTAACTATTAATGTAATGATAAAGCTAAAAATATAAGTAATTGTTTCAAATATTCAAAACTGTGTAAAATACACATAAATAATAAATTATATTTTCGCATGTGATTGTTTTATTCCGAATAAGTTAGTTACTTTTAATGCTTTAAAATTAATAAAAATTCAATTGAAAACACTTTCTTTTTTCCACTAAAATCATTAAAAAACTTCATCAAATGGGAGTTACTTAATTTAATATTAGTTTTTTTTTTTTTGCAAATAAACGCAAACGGGCTTAATTTTTTGCTTGAATGTTTTGACCGGTCAGTTTTTAAATTGAAAATAAATTGGAATTTTTTATTTTTGTCAGACGTTCAGTCTACAATTTTTTATTTTTTTTCTTACTTTATATTCTTTCCAAATTCAAAAAAATATTAGCTTTTTTACTGTTTCTCTTCCAATTTTGTTTTTTTAAATAATTTAATCAGAAACGTGGAAGTTTTCAAACTTGAAAACATTAAAATTAAAAAACAAGTTATTTTTCATAGCACAATAACCAAAATTCACTCAAGAAAGAAAATTTTTATGGAATATGTGCTTTTTAACACAAAAATTCTAATTCTTGCTAAATTGGTGAATATATGTACTAATTCGAGTATTACTTTTATAAATGCTGATGGAATTTTAGCGCAAAATTTATTATGAAAAAATTATAAAATTTGAATATTTTTTTAAATGAATCTAAAATCCAAATAAATAAATAATACTGTGATCGTACTGAAAATTTTATTAAAAATTTCAGATTTATATATACATGGTATACTATTTTTGAATTAAAGATTTAAGTAATTTATACACAAATATAATACAATGTAAGCAATATAATAGATGCACAGTTCTTATAAGATTTTTCAAGAATATTGCTTCATTTGAATTGTTTCACTTGAATATGTTAATTTTAATTAATTTATGTAATATGTAATATATTTTAACTTAAAATGCAAAAATTTTCGAATGATGCATTTTAAAGTAGTGTTGTTTTAAGTACTCTTCTTCTTAATCTTATATAAGATTACATCATTTTTATTTTCTTTTGATGTTCGTATTCCGTATATTATGCAGAGAATATTATTTTTTACCATTATAATGTAGGATGTATATTTAAATATTAAACTCCTTTTGTGTATTGTAGTTAAAATATAATAAAAAATATTGCAATCACAAAGTATTTTTGATGATCACATTTTACCCACTTAAAAAAATTAACAAATAAAATTAATTATCTATACTTTAAATACCAAAATGCTGTAAAATAAAATCTCTGCAATTTTTTTTTGGTAAATTTGCATTTTGAATAGCTTTCGATATCACTTTTCGATTATGCTTTTGGTAATTGGAAAATTTGTTTTAAAGGTTGTTTCTTATTCATATAAATTAATTTTATTGTAAAAATTTAATATTTATTCAAAAAATATAATCTAATTAAATTATTAATTCTAATTTTAACAACTTACTTCCAAAAGTAATGTTTTAAAATCAACTTTTATTCGAAGATTAAATAATTGTTAAGTTAAAGTTTTTATTAGTAAATTTTAAATAAATAAATTTATAATCGAACACGTTTATTTTTTAACTTTAATATTTTAACAATTTTAAATTTAAACTAGGTGTTTAAAAAGACTTCATGGTATTTGATATTTAAATTTTTACTAATTATTATAATTAACGATATCTTACAAAAAAATGAGGTCATAAAAATGTAAAACACAAAAATGCTAAATAAATCGAAAAATTTTTAATTCTTAGTTGCAGGTTAAAAAACAATTTTCATTACTATTATGAAACTTAATGAACAAACTAAATTTCCGGGTTAAATAAAAATAATTAGTAACGTTTACAATAAGTTCTCCACTTTTCATTTATTATTGAATGCACAAAATTTAATTAAAAAATAATCTTGTTTCAAGGCACCATTGGAGTTTTCTAAACTTTCAAGAAATTTTTTAACATTACAGTTTTTTTACATAACTGTGGAACATTCGATTCAAACTGATATTTTGAAAAAATTTTAAGTTTCAAATTAAGTTAATTTTAACAATTTTTTTTTTTTAATATGTTTCTTATTCTGATATTACTTAAGTTGTACAATATTAATTTAATTTTTCTCAATTTAGTCATACAAATTCAGATCAGATCAAATTTCAATTCTTTCTTTTTAACTGGCATTTAAATGGAAATAGTATTAAAATATGTTTTATAATTTTAGATTAACAGAACCAGAAGGTATTATTCACGATGGTTTCGGTAATTATTCTGTTAGTGTTAAATGTAGCTGGCTAATAGATGCACGTAATGCGAATTGGACAAATCGTAATGGTGCAAATAGTATTCAAAAGCCAGCAAAAATTCGTTTACATTTAGAAGAATTCGCTACAGAATGCGGCTGGGATCATTTATATATTTTTGATGGTGATAGTGTAGAATCACCACTCTTAGCTGTTTACAGGTAAATTGAACAACAGCATTATTTTTGTTTTTTTGTAAAAAAAATTTATTTTATTCAAATTTATTTTGATTTTACTTGTAGTGGACTAATGTACAAGAAAAATTTTTCGATTCGTCGTGTGCCAGAAATTGTAGCCGAAAATGGATCAGCATTATTACATTTTTTTAGTGATGATGCATATAACATGTCCGGATTTAATATATCATATAAAATAAATGGTTGCCCTACGAATGATTCATGTAAGCTTCTTAATATATAAATGTTTATTTTATTTACATCACAATACTTTTTAGCTGTTGATTGTTCTGGAAAAGGTGTTTGTGTTGATGGAATTTGTACATGTGACGCACAATACACTGGAGAAGCTTGCAATATACAAATATGTCCAAATAATTGTTCATATCATTTAAGACAGGGAGCATGTAAAAAAGAGGCTCATGTGTAAGAAAAAAAATTTTTATTGTTTTTTAGTGTTGGTCTGTAAATAATAAGTTGTTATTTATGAATTTTAGATGTGAATGTCGAGATGGTTTTGCCGGCAATGATTGTTCACAAATAAATGCATTAGGTGTTTGGTCAACAATTAGTTTAGAATATTCTCTACCACCTCCAGGTAGTGCATCACATGGTGCTACTGTGTGGCGAGATACACTTCATATAATTGGTGGAGAAAGTTATGGACGGGGAGAACTTTTAAATATGTATGATTTTAATGGAAGGGTTTGGGAAACTGTTCATATGGAATCAAATAACAAATCAAAGGTGCCTGAGCTAAGGTATGCAGGATCAACCGTGATGTTCGGTGACAAAATTTTTATGTATGGAGGTGTTGTTCCAAGAGAAGGAATTTCTGGTGAATTGTGGGCATTTGATGTAAACGCAAAAACTTGGGAAAATATTACTGTAAAGACAGATTATTGCAATGGAACATTTGCCATGTGTGGGCCATTAAAAGTAGCTGGACATACTGCAACGCTAGTTCCAGGTTTTGGTGATCGGAGTAATTACCAATTTATGGTTGTTATATTTGGCCATTCACCTCAATTTGGGTATTTAAATACAGTGCAAGAATACAATTTTGGAACGCGAGAATGGAAAATTGTTGAAACATATGGTTATGCTGTTAAAGGTGGTTATGGTCACAGCGCTGCGTATGATACATTAACAGAAAAAATTTATATTTATGGCGGTATTGTATCGGAAAGTGAAGCCACACAAATATTAAGTAATAAATTATATGCTTATGATCCAGTTTCAAGAGTGTGGACATTGTTAACATCTGCACCAAGCGCTCGATTTTTGCACACAGCAAATTTTATAAATTTAGGTTTAATGATGGTATTTGGCGGGAATACTCACAATGACACATCTCAAAGCTATGGTGCTAAATGTTATAGTAAAGATATATTAATTTATGATGTTGTTTGTGATTCGTGGCACATAAATTACATGCCAAATGATTTAAGAGCTGATATGGCCAGATTTGGCCACTCAGCCGTAATATTTGAAAATTCTCTGTATATCTATGGAGGTTTCGATGGACAGTTATTATCAGATATGTTAAAATATACCCCAGGTAATTGCAGTTATTTTGAAAAAGAAGAACGATGCTTAAATGGACGGCCAGGAGTAAAATGTGTATGGGATTCTGTAAGAAATAGTTGTATTCCGGTAAAAAGAGAAATGAAAGAAGTTATTTTGCGTAAAGATCAATATGAATTTATTACTTGCCCACAAAAAAGCAGAATAACTTTGACAACCGAGTTGTTATTAGATGTTACAAGATGTGTTGAGTTATCTAACTGTCAGTCATGCGTATCCAGTTCATTTGGATGTGCGTATTGTGGTAATGGAACATGTTCAAAAGATAAATGCAGGGAAAGTAACTTTTTTGTGGATTCTTTGGTTTATAATATTACCAATATTACAAAATTGGATCAATGCCCTGAAGAATCTGGAAGTTTGTGCCCTCAATTACATTGTTGCAATGCATGTATCGCTAATAGTAATTGTTATTGGGATATTGAAGCAGCAAAATGTAAGGGTATAGGCAACAAAACTCTAGATCCCGAAACACAATGCCCAACTCCTTGTGCAATATATACAAATTGTTCTGCTTGCACTGATAATGATTGTATTTGGTGCCAAAATCAACAAAGATGTGTTGACCGAAATGCATACACAGCTAGTTTTCCATATGGGCAGTGTAGAGAATGGACTACTCATTCATCCAAATGTAGAACAGTGCCTTCTGCTGTAAATAGCCAAATTAATGGTGAAGAATCCGATGAGTGTCTTGGACACAAGTCATGCAGTCAATGTGGATCGTATAAAACATGTAATCAATGTAGGGATGATCCAGCTTGTGGTTGGTGTGATGACGGATCGGCTACAGGTTTAGGTAGAATTCTATATTATAAAATTATAATCTTGAGATTAAAATTTGATATACATTTTTTAAGGTAAATGTCTTCCTGGTGGAGCTAGCGGATCTCAAAGTGAATTTAAATGTAACAAATCTCGTTGGCATTTTACTCACTGTCCTGACTGTCAATGCAATGGACACAGTATTTGTCCAGATAAATTTACTTGCAAGCAACCATGTGCTAATTTAACAGTTGGACGTAATTGTGATAAATGTCGTCCAGGTTATTGGGGTAATCCTATAAACGGAGGCACTTGCCAGAAATGTGAATGTAATGGCCAAGGAACTTTGTGTCATAGCGATACCGGAAAATGTTTTTGCCATACCAAGGGTATGATCGGTGATCATTGTGAAAAATGTGATTTAACTAATCATTATCATGGTGACGCAACAAAAGGCTCTTGTTATTACGATTTAACCATCGATTATCAGTTTACTTTCAACTTATCCAAGAAGGAAGATAGACATTTTACGCAAATAAATTTTAGAAATTCACCAGCAAAACCAGATATTGATGCTGATTTTTCTATAACATGCAGCGTTTTAGCTAAAATGAATATAACCGTTCGGACAGCTGGTGGTCCTGAGAAAACAGCTTTTAGTGGTTTAAACTGCTCGAATTTCCGACACAGATTTTCTAAAACAGAATATCACTTTGGTTCTCTTGATAATGATACATTGACTACATTTTATGTTTATGTTTATGACTTTCAACCACCGCTATGGATCCAGATAGCATTTTCTCAATACCCAAAATTAAATTTGCAACAGTTCTTTATTACGTTTTCCAGTTGTTTTCTGCTATTATTACTGATGGCTGCAGTTTTATGGAAAATAAAACAAAAATACGACATGTTTAGAAGAAGACAAAGGTTGTTTGTTGAAATGGAACAGATGGCGTCAAGACCATTCTCTCAAGTAAGAAAAAAATTTTGAAACATTTGTATAAGATTTCTTAAATCGCATTTATTATAAAAATTTTAGGTTTTGGTTGAAATAGAAAATAGAGAAAATATAGATTTGTCGCAGACTATAGAAAGTATTACAACAGCTAAAAAACGCAAAAAGGTAAGCGTGATAATCTCTGGTTTTAGTAAACTATTTCAAATTTCGTTAAAATTTTCTTAGGATTGCCCTAGTCCAATTGCCTTAGAACCTTGCAGCGGGAATAGAGCTGCCGTTTTATCACTTCTAGTCCGACTGCCTACTGGTAATATAAAAAATTTTCTTAACTTGGTTGAAACATATAACAATTAATTTAAATTTTTAGGTGGTCTACAACATGCTCCCCCCGGTCAAGCAGCCGGTTTAGCTGTAGCAAGTGCATTAGTTACATTAGGAAATCCAAGGAGGCCATCAATAGAGCATCCAAAAGAACCTAAAACTAAACGTAAACAAAGTCAGCATCCCGATAGTTGTACATAATTTAAAATGTTTGAAATTCTATTATATAAGTATATTTAATCATAACAAATTATTAAGAATAAATATAATACTATTAATAATATTATCATTAAAAATATCTTGCTAGTATATTTAAATTATAATTCTTAACAAAGTAAAAAATTTAAACATTCAACAAAAACAAAATTAATAATAGCATGTAAAGAACGAAATATGTATGTATGTATATTCAAACAAAAAAATTAATTCTTGTTGTTCTTAATAATTTAATTACGATAGCAAAACGAATATATCAATTATGCAATATTATTAAATCTCGACTGCACTGCGTAATATAAAACAAATTTTCATAAAAAAGTATTTCCTCAGTTACATACATTTTTAAATTTAGATTAACAAATAAGTTAAAGATTATGACGGTTTTTAATAATTTAAAAAAAAAACATATTTTGAATACGACTTTTACATTATGTGCATGATATATGTATAAAAAGTTTCTTACAAAATTTCTGTTGACGTAAGAGATTTTTGTATTGATTTTTTCAATATATAAAATTTTCTTAAAAGACTGGTTTTTAAAATTATATCTATAGTAAATAGTTATTGTAAATGAAAGATTTTGTAAGATTCTTATTCTTCTTCTTATGAGGAAAAACAAATATATGTAAGTAGTTTGAAAAATTTTAATTTGGATCGACAAATATCAAAATTTTTAAAACATTGTCCTCCTTTTTCTTTTTTATAACCATATTTCAGTGGTAGCATTTATTAAATTGTTGTAAAATATTAATTGTAAGTATAAATGAAAAAGAAGAACAATACGACAAAAAACGAATTTGTGTTAAATATTAAGAACAAAGATTTAATTTTTTATCATTATATTAGTACAATTTTAATTTATTCCTACTTTAGTTTCTTTCTGTATACTTTAATTCATTTTAACTATTAATTTTAACGAACTTTTTGTCTTGTACATTTTTTTATTTTTCTGATTTTGTTTTACAAATATTTCCGTAGAGACGTTAATTTGAGACAAAAACGGGGTGATATATTTTATTCAGTGTAATTATTATATAAATTGTAATCAACGATTGTAAAATTGAAACTTTTTATTGCAAGTTGATTTGATATTCCTTGTCTTTTAATCATATATTGTCATCATTCTTCTTTAAAACTTACTATACACTATATATTTCATATTGAATAATTATTTCTTATAATTTTTACAATATTGTAAAATTGTGATTTTTAATCTATGGTTAATTATCATCACATTAAATAGTACAAAAAATATAAAATAAGCATTTATTTTCTATTATATGAACTTTATGTCCTTCAAAATAACTAACTTCAGAAAATTAGGTTAAATATTCCAAATTCAAATTTTAAATTTGGATTACTACAATTTATAATCAAAACGAACTAGAGTTGATTTTAACTAATATTTTAAAATTTTAATTAATTCAAGCTAAAATAGAAATTTCCAGTTTTATTTTCAAGGGAATATCAAGTGAACAATCAGTTGAAAGTAGAAATTACATACTAAATTTATAGTAAGCCTTTTGAAATTTATAATGAGAAATATATTTAATTCTTAATAATTAAATGTCACAAGTTTTTAAATTTTATAGCCAATTGAAGAAAAAATTTACGTTTAACATTTATTTAATACTTATTTTTGAATTTTTTTTTATATAAAAATACGTTACGCCTTTGATTAGAAATATTCTAATTCTAATAAATTCTTTAGAAAATTTTATTTAATTATTTAAAATTGGTAATTGAAAACAGTGCGACCTTACACCAGATTACGGAACTTGAATTTATGTTTTTATTGTAATTTATTTTCAATATTTTATTTTAATTTGATTGAAAATTGCTATAAAATATAAGCTTACTCGAAAAATCAATTGTAAAACTTATACATTGTTAAATTGTATCATACAAAAAAATTTATTATTATTGCTTCAATTTATACATATTTATGTTCTAATTTTTTGGAAATTCAAATGAAACAATCAACAAACTTTAATGATTCATAAATACTCAGAACATTTTGTAAATTGTATATGTAATCAAATATTAATTAAGTATATATTTCAAATGTCATTAAAAAATTTATAAAAGGTAAATCATCAAAAAAAGTTTGCTGTTTATATAATTAATGTTTATTTTTAATAAAAATTGTGATAGATGTTATTATTTTGTTAAATATTAAAAAAACAAAATAATTTAAATTTACGTATGCAAAATTTTGATTCAAGTACTTTTGTATAAAATTATAAAAATAAAAAAAAAATCAATTAAAAACACAGAACGTTTAATTAAAAAATTTTCAAATTTAAAAATTAATTGTAAAATAGCTTACATTTTTTTTCATTTTTCTGTGTCGATAAATATGTCAATGCAATTTTTAAAAGTAATTTGTAAAGTATTGTAGTAAAAGTAATTTTAAAAGTATTCTATTTCACCCTCATAAATTCTATTAATCACAATAAAAAGAATGAAATTCTTTTTTTTTAACTTCAATTTTTAATTTTTTTTTTAATTGCATTTTAATTTTTATGTTTTTAGTTTTCAATTTTTATTTTTATTTGTGCAATATTACTATTTAAAATAATATTAACGAATATCTTCCATTTTGTTTATCGAAAATATATTGTTTAATTTAGTTAATACTCAGACACTATTTTCATCATTCGCTTGATTTACAACCGTAAAATATTCACCAATATTTTGTCAGTCGCATCACTTGAGGTGATGGGATATTATTGAAACGTTTTTTGGCTTTCAGTACATAATTTCAAATTTTGAAATTGCTTGTATTCTGACAAACTGGAAATTTTTGAATAATAAACCATTCCGTGATGCAACTAACACAATAAGGGTAATTATGTATATACTATATAAAAGAATAACAAATTCTGTTACGTAAGGATCGTAAATAAAAAAAAAACAACAAAATGCATTAAAATTTTAAAACTGTTTTATGTATGTGTTTAATTTTTCATTTTATAAAATTAAAGATTGAGAGTTATATACACTTAATTAATTAATATTTTTACGAAAGTAATGAAAATTCATTCAAAGAAATTTTCATTTAATTTATAAATAAGTTATAATTTTATTATCATTGCGGTACAATAAAACCGTGGCGCAAAATTTAATAACTTCTAGCAAAGCATTATTAGTCCAAATTTAAGTTATTATTTTGCAAATATCATTATACCAAGTTAATTTTCTTAGGTATTCACCATATATTTCTTTTTAAATAACAACAAAAATTAATTAAATTAGATGAATATGAATTTTGATAAAACCGAAAAATTATTTATAAATTTATTAAAAATTCTAAATACTTACATGTTATTATAAGAGAAAGATATAGCTTATAAATCATTGAATTGAATTCTACGAAAATTCATTTAAAATGAATATTTGCATAAATTTTTAGAACAAAAATTGTAATTCATTCGAAAAATTTATACGAAACAAAATTGTATATTTATCTTAATTCAATTATATTTGATTTGTTGGCTTTAAAATCCATAAGATTTTGTCATATATTGTAGATTCATTATTTTAAGATTATTAACACTTTAAAACCCTAATTTTGATTCTGTTAAAAATGTGTTCATATCACCTAGAGCTTCAAATTTACAATAAGAAATTAAAAATTTTTGATTTAAAAAAAAAGGAATAATACCCATTAATGTAAAAAGTTGTGTTATAAATTTATATTTTTAATGAAATCGATTTCTTGTAAAACGTTTGAGCTAAATTTAAAGTAATAAATAATGATTTGGTGAACTAAAACAGAATGATTAAAATATTTTGCATATAAAAGCATAATAAATAAATAAATAAATAAATGTAAATGTAATATAATTTTTATATTTTTAAATTATGTAAGTTAATAAAAATTTCTTTACTTTATTTTGTTAATTTCAAATTTCTGTTAACATTAAACTTATTTAAAAATTTTATTTCTTTTTTTTTTAAATTTCCATTCAATTAGTAATATTAAGTTTATTAGAATAGATTAGTAGAAGTAATTTTGTAGAAATAGTTTTCACGAAAAAAAGATGAAAATACAAAAAAAAAGGACATAACAATATAATCATAAGATTCACATTATTAATCATGTTTCATAATTTTTTTCTTCTCTACCTTTAATTTGCCTATATTTATAATATATATTTTTGATAAAGAAAAAGACATAGAATTTAAAATCAAAATAAAATAAAATTGATAATAATACTAAAAAAAAAAATATATAGAATAATAAAGTCTAATTAATAAAGTCATGCATAAAGAAAACAAAGAGTAAATATAAATTAATATTTTCGAACAAAAAAAAAACAAAAAAAAAATATAAATATGTATAATAAAAAAATATCATAGATCTTAGTATCTTAATTAAAGAAAAAAAAAACAGATGCATAGGTATAGTTACCATAAAAAATACATAAAAATAATTAAAAGCATTTTACATTTTATTCCTAACGATATTTATATATATATGCAAAATTATAATTACAGGGTTCATTACAACATTTTTACATCAATTATATTTTAGTTTAGTAAAACAAAAAAAAAACAAACAATTTTTATTTTCTAAATCATAATAGAGTTAAATTTTTTTTTTTTTTTTACTTAAGTTTAAATTAAAAAAATCAGCATTTCTTACTGGAATATATTTCTTAATATTTTTGTAATAAACAAAGACGATTTGTATATTTAGTACTCAAATTTTTGGTCATCTCATTACAACTTTTTATCTAAAAATATTAAATTAAAAATTATCTAATATATAAACATAATTGGAATTATATTTTAATACTAACATTTAAATTTACTTCCAACCAAATTTGAACTATATTTTAATTTAAATCGAATCAGAATTTCTAAATTATATCATCTTTATCATTTAGATACATATTTCATAATTTATTACAAAATATATAATATAGTTAAATATCTAAACAAACAAAAGAAAAAAAAAAACAATATTTACCATTTGTACTATTATTTTTAATCTTAATGTTTGTGAATGTAAATTATTTATTTTTAGTTTTATAATATTATGTAATATGTTATGAAAATAGTTTTTAAAAAAAAATTTTAAGATATGAAGAAAAAGAAAACTGCAAATTTAATGAGAAACAAGTAAAAAAACACATATTAAGACATATTCATTGAAAACATTATATAATAGAGAAAGGATAATTATTTTTTAAATAAGGAAAATTTAATTTATGTTTTTGTTTTTATATAAAAAAGTAAAAAAAAAAATGAATAAAAAATATACATATATATTATAAAAAAATCAA